TGAACTCATTTGAGCTGAACACTGGAAACAACACCTACTCGATAGCCTTCGCTGACGATCCGATAGTCTACGTTGCTGGCACACACGGATGCCGAGAATAAAAGACCAATTGGAGGACCTCGTGAATAGAATAAATAAATTCTATGCAATGTGGAATCTGCCAATGAATCCAGAGAAATGCGAAACAATCCTCTTCAGGAATCCCAGGAGCAATCTGTCCACCCAGAAGGCAGAGGGTATCAAAATTCTTTTTCAATCGCAACTACCGTTCCAGGAACGAATGAAAGGATTGATATCCCGACAAAAAAAGAGGTTAAGTATCTTGGATTTCATATGGACCACCTTGCGAGAGGCACCAAACACGTGGATATCCAGCTGCAAAAAGCCAGGAACGCGCATCAAGCTATGGCACGGCTTCCAACCATTGTTAACAGTAGGACAAAGGTCATAATGTACCAAATCTTTGTAAGATCACTGCTCACATACGCGGCCCCAATATGGTGGAACACTGGAGCGGCGCACATGGAACAACTGCGCTGCTTTGAAAGGACGTGCCTGAGAAGCGCGCTGGGCAAACACAGATCGCGGGAATCTAATTACAAACAGCTTATTAGTAATAAAAAAATATATGATATGGCCAATATACCGCGAGTTGACTGCTACATATTGAGAATGACAAGGGACTATATGGCAGGACTCGGCGTAATAGACAACAAGTTGATAAACAAGGTGGGCGAGACGGAGGAGAACCGGGCGAAAGCAGCTGCCAGCAGAGGATACATCAAATCTCAGGAGTTCATTACTCATGATAGAAATGGAATAATCCAAGACTCGAACGGTACGCCAATAATCTACCATTACGGGAGGCACAAAGCGAACAAAAAGCTTCCACCTAGCTACGCTGAAATTGTACAAACCAGGTCCAAGTACTCGAGAAGCATCCCCAGAGTCGACTATGAGGATAGAAGCAGACTCGATGCTAAATACTGGTGGCTAAAGGCCGATGCAAAACACATACCAGAGCTAAAGCAACGGCTACAAAACGTGGAGAAGAAACCAAGAAATAAGAAGAAAAGGCAGAGCAACCTAACAGCAGCACCAACTCGGGTATCCGACGGAGAAGAAGGCAATATCGCCTTACCGCCTTCCGGTCCTACTAGTCATTAGATCTAATTTGTAAGCCTAAGTTTTAAACTTAAGATAAACCGATATGGTGATTTTTACTTCTTTTTTTTTTTCACCGTCTTCCAGTCCCTATTGGGACGGATATCACGTAGCCCAAGTTATGCCGAATTGTCGGCCAAAAACCAAAAATAAAATGTAATAGGAATAAACATTCTTAACTGTGTATGGATGAAAGGTATGTATGGAGGGCTGAAAGTATTCAGACATGTATGGGCGTAATTATCAAATAATGTAAAGCTTTTTATTGTTTATTTTTGGCTGTCGAATATTAATACTTGCATATATTTAGACTGAATAATTAAAATAAAAAATAAAACTCCAGATAAGAAGGTTGCGTGTTCAAATCACGTGGGGGTCAACGAGTGAGACGTTTTTATTTGATTCTTTATTACACATTACACAATGCAACGTTTTATATGTATTTATAAATGTCCAGCGCATGATATTCTACATGATAATCGTAGTGGATATTATGAATTTAGATTATGCTCATAGTAGATATACATATCTTCTTGGGACTGTTGATATGTTATAAGCTTAGTCCTAAGTTCGCGTCTAGACCTACTTGTCAATATTACGTTTAGTATTGTTATGACTCAATGGAATGACGAGTAACGCATAGGAAGATGCAAGACCAAGGCAAAGGCTCAATTCTTGATATTGGAGGACTTGGCTTCACGGTCTTGTGCTCGTGGATGCATTGTCGTTTCTCCCTTTGCGCGACGTAGGTTTCTACGTTTCAATTGTCGGGTTGCAATGATTCCCACTCCAAAACATTGTATATGTATTTTTAAACACATTCCATTTTTACGAAAGTTAAACTTAAAAAAATATGCAACTTTAAAGCAAAAAGAAATCTGACTACAAATATACACAATAAATTAAGGATCATTTCCATATCGCTTAAAAACGTGATATACATATAACGTCGTCAGTCCGAAAGAATGTTGCGACGAAACGATGTACCTACACTGAATTGAATGAATATATTGAATTGAATGACTCCCGTTCCTGATTTTCAACACATGCCACTTCTTCTCGCCGATGCGCTCCCGATACATGTGAACCACGGCGCCGCGTGCCGACGCAACCCATTGACCCGCTCTCTGTCAAGCAGCTGTAAATATCCTGATCACCGCGTTATCCTTATTATTATATTTTCTTTAGTAGCTACGGACCAAAAGTTGGCCTCAGAATTAGCAACAACTTACGTCTACTCGAAGGACAGGATGACGAAAAGCTATTTAAAAAAAGAAAAGAAGAAAAGGAAAAGTTGGCAGCGGTGGGATTCGAACCCACGCCTCCGAAGAGACTGGTGCCTTAAACCAGCGCCTTAGACCGCTCGGCCACGCTACCGCGAGATACGGTTTTCTGGTTATGATTTATATAATACATTGCTCGTTGTAAATATAACGTACTATACAACAAAAACAATTCTTTGTATTTAATGACAGCCAACAACCGGAATGCAATGCAATATTGTTAACGATAAGTGCGACAATGTGCAATAACGGAGGATTTATTGTATCAAACGTTTTTCCATTGTAAGCTCGCAGACTCCCGCGTAACGCCACCACATTGACATCCGTCGTACCGAGTCACCCGTCACAATACATATAGAAGCTCTAACGTGTTTCGCGAAATCCACGGCATTTTCGGAAACTTGCGAAATGCCGTCTCCAATTACCAGTTACGATTTTGCGTTAGCGTTGCGCCTGTGGTGAGTAAGTCGTCCATATATAGCAACGTCCTCTCCCCCCCCTCTCCCCAACTTTCAGCGATACACAAGCGCACCCCTGCGATACGAATATAAAGCGCACATGCCCAGCGCTCGCCACACACTTTTTCTCTTGTGCCGTTACTGCGCTTCCAAAGACACCAACTCCAAATAATCGAATCATCATGCCTGGGCGTCCATTGTGGCAGGTAAGATATCGAAAATGCATTACGCAAATGCATGCGAATCCATTTTCTTAAATCCTGCAACACTCGCGTGGGGACCTAAAGCACACACCCAAAATTCATTCACTTTTCACTTTCACACCGACAATTTGAGCGATAAATTATATTAATTCTCCTAGCGATATGTATATAAACAAGAATAATTTCTGGTGCGAAATTATATTTTTTTATGAATGATCAATATATTGGATTAACAAGTCGGAATCTTTACAGCCAAAATCCGAGTATCCGTGTTGTTATTTCGACAGCTAGCCCGATTGCCGAAGGATTTAAAAAAAAACTAGCCGTTCATATCCATTCGTGCGTGTAATACCATTTCAGTGAGTCACTTTCGTCTTCCTCATCTTGCTGGTACCCGTAGACTTTGAGCTTTCTCATATTCTCATTATAAATAGCCACAGTTCTTTATATCTAAACGTATAGTCTTGCATATTGAAACTCAGCTTCCACAACTAGACTCTCTCTCTCTCTCTCTCTCTCTCTCTCTCTCTCTCTCTCTCTCTCTCTTTCGCTAGTTCTACATGCCTAATTTGAGGGTTAAATTTACGTTTATTATGTAAATTGGCTTTATTGTCTCTTAGTTGTTCTCGTAAAGTCTAACTTGACTTACTGCCGGTGAACAGGAGCTGCTCCCTGATCGAATAAATTGTTTTCTTTCTCTTCCTCGTCCCGCCACTGTTAATCTGCCTCTGCGTGGATGCGCGCGTGTGCCGGGAATCATTCGCCATTATAATATGTTATACAAACCTTTGATAATATATTGTTTTTCCTTTGACAGCATCAGTTGCGAGGACGCAATATCCGATATATATCTATAAGAATTATCCTACGTTTCGAAATCTCTCATTGAGTTGGCACGCGGTAACGCGAATACCTATTTTGAATTCTGAGTCAAAAACATGTAGGATATTTTATTTTCACAAAGTTTTCTTTTTGACGATGCGTCTATTTCGGAAATACTATACATAGTATAGCATATTGAACGTTTTCGCGTTGAGCGTTACGAAAGATTGGAGGTCTCGTTTGTTTATTCCAGAGATTACGGAAACGTCCAAAGTGTATTACGGAAGTGCCAAAATGTAGAAAACTTGGCATGAATTTTATATGACGGTACGCCATAGAATATTTGATCACTTTTAGCTTGACTGCCTGCCGAAGTTTAGTAGTAAGTGATAACATCAGAATCCCGCCATTGAAATGAAACAAAAGAAACGGCATGTCAAGAGACATTGACAAGAGACACAAAACCATACGTAATCGTACTGTTCCTCTCGTCTTTCCTAGAGATAAAAATCGAAAATAACACGAATAATATATTGAGTCATGGTATGTTCAAAGACAATTTGACAAGACATTTTTGAGCTTTCGCTTTGACAAGTTTCAGAAGTCAACACGAAAAGTCTTATAGGCGAAAAGAGTGCGAAATCCGCACTGGGCATTTCGCATTTCATGTCGCACTTACTCCCCAATTTCTAATCAAGATCGTTCTGAATGTGAAACTAAAAAGTTTATGTAATCAGAGCCTTACAGAGCGTCTCGTGAACCTTCCTTAAAGACGACGAAACATTTGGCCTCAGTCTGTGGAACTGCTGAGGGTGGCGCGCCGTCGATGATCCACAGCGCCCTTGGGCACCTGTCCGTCTTACGCGACAGTCCGGAAAGGAAGAAAAGAGTCGAAAAAACGTAAAGTTTGCGCGCGGTACGTCAGGATTGGCACGTGAAAATATAAGCAATTTTCCAATTTTCCAAGTTCTTCCTTGCCGACGCGGCCAACATCTATCTACATCCATCTAGCCGTTTCGATAGGAAAGAGCGAAAGAGTCCCAGATGAAGGAATATAGCCATAAGAATTAAACTCGGCAAGAATACTGCGTCGTGATCCAACCGCGTGTGTTTCGCCTGTCAATCGGCCAACACGCTTTACCGAAGGGGCTCAAGACACTTGGTGAGGAAATCAACAAGTCCGCGTCCACTCTGATGATTTTTAGGGAGAATCGCGCAGTTTGTCTTAATTAGAAATTTGACATTGGCCAAACAGAGGATAGACTAATTGCAGGTCCGTGCGCGGAAAGAAAATCGAATTAGGAAGATTTACGGAGAAAATGAATATGACGGATAAGCGAAAGAAGATATATTCGTACGCAAAATACATGTATAGTATATTGTACATATTAGGAGTTACGGCAAAAGGATAGCGACGATATCGCCAAGGGCAATTACCTGATTTTGACCTCTAGAAAGGACAGTAAAACTTTGATGGTACAGTCGATTAAGCAATCGATACGCATGTCATATTGTCATCACATATGTCGCGTATTTCCAAAGCCACCGTGTCCGGACTGACTGGCACCCTTGTTGTAGCCCATTTGTAAATTAACTTGTCCCTCGCTCGCGCGAAGCTGCTCCTCCGTGAAGGTCCTCTTGTTCTCATCCGCCATTTTTGGTCCGAGCCGAGGTCCAGTATACTCGGGATGTTTTTGCGTCTGTTTTGCGAAAGGCGAGTGTGTTATTTACGTGACTGAGAAAAGTCGAGATTAGGGAGACAGTAGCTCTAACAGTCAAGATACTTACGACCCTCCCAAGGGCGTAAAGGCACAACGTAACTTGAGGAATGTTGCGCCTCTCGAAGAGATCTGCCGTCTGGAAGATTTCCTCTTGAGGGACTCCGTAATTCTTTATAGCAGCCTGAAATCTGTAGGTCACGATAATACAGACATCTTACAGACATCCGGTCTTGAGAGCCTACGAGGAACTAGTCGCTCGCAACGAAAGCTGCAGCACGCGTACCTCTGAACGTTTTCCATGAGCTGAAAGTTGGTGCCCTTGGTCTGTATCTTCTTCACGGATCCAGGAGCAAGTTTGTTGATCAGCTGACAGAGAATAACGCCATCCTTGAGTATGTCCTCGTAGTTTCCAGGCGGCAGCTTCTCGCCGAGCACGCTCTCGATCCACGCGAGGACCTCGGCTTCCTGTTCCTTGTTGCGCGGCTATCGAAGTAACCGAAAAACAGAGGGGAAAAAAAAGAAAACATTAAATTATAGACTTTTTAGTCCTTTTTAGTCCTTTTTAGTCCTGTTTCAGTGGTCACGCCCGCAGGCCACTCAGCCACTGTATCATGGAGGCCATTCACGAGGAGACGGCGGGTATACATATGCGATCGATCGCTCTTAATGTTGGAAATGTTAAACACGAAAATAGCTCGAGGCTGCTGCGGTGTTGGGTTACGAGGAACATGGAGTCCAGTCCGAAATAAAGGATGGTTTACTCTTATGGTGGCTTTCACTGTATAGCACGTACTGTATGTAGCACGGACTATATAGGCGTATCGAGTAGAAGGCGTCGCGCGCAAGGAAACGTTCTTTCGGCCGTTCGGCATATCGTGCGCCGACCTTATCGGTAGCCACATCTGCTGGAGAATCGGCGAGTACGCAGCCTCACGTAACGTTTGTCGAGCGACGGGATCTCCGAGTGTCCGGTCGCGCTACGCGTCCCATCAATTGAATTTATAAAACGTAGAAGGGATACGCAAAGAGACAAACGTACGTGCACGCTGCACGTACTCCCTCTTTACGGGGATCCTCCGAGCGGCCCTAAAAATAAACGTGTTACGTTCTACGGGCACGTAAAAATAGTGTCTTCGATCGCGCGCTCTATTGGCGCGAAGGAAGCGGAGAGAAGGTATCTTCTTGAAGCTTGCAGCTGTAACCCATCCTTCAAACTAATCTCGTATTATTTTCAGAGCCCTGCCTCTTCGAGAGGATGAGCGCATCCGTATATCTTCCTACTCGGCTCCCTCGCTCGAGTGGTGGGTGGTGGGTGGTGGGTGGTGGGTGGTGCGTGTGTGCCATATGGTCACGTCGAGTTCAACTCGCGGATCAGGTCTTCCTAATGAATCACTGATGGACTTACTTAGTTGTTCGCGACGCGCACTCGCGCACTCGCGCACTCTCGCGCTCGTAGCAAGGAGAAGACGAGAGGAAAGATAAAAGGAGGAAAAAAGAAAGAAGAATGAAGAAAGATGGCAGACGCTATCGAAACGTCCAGATCCTACATGCTGCAGATCCTAAGCCCATCGTCGACCATCAAGGACCATCGGGGACCATCGGGGACCTCTTCCCGTTCTCGAGCCAAAGCGGATTACATGATTGCGTTGGAGATGCGAAAGCATTGCATAACGATATTTATGTTAGGATATAAATAGAGACCGGATGTCGGAAAGGCGCGCGCCGCAGCGGCCTGTTCGCGCCTAAATTTATGTCAGAACACTATATAGGTACACACACCACCCACGCGCACCGAGTTAGGTCGCGCATTCAGAGTGAACCGCTGAAAGAAAATTTTCGTTAAATTCACGCCGCTTCGACCGTCCGTCATTCGATCGATTCGACCGATTCGACAGATTCGACAGATTTTAAGATGAAACGTTTCCCTCTACGAGCGTCGCGATAAAAACAACAGGACGTACCGGCCTCCTCTGCTCCAAGTCGAAATAACGATTCTAATTCGATTGAGCTGAAGTCGTCATTGGTCAATGACAACGTGATACACCCAATGTGTATAGGAAGCGTGTTAATAGAGAGCGCGCGGTGTACTATCCTGTACTATCCTGTACTATCGTGTACTATCGTCGCGCAACTTTGCAATTTTCCATGCAGGCAGGGGAACGTACCGCCATTTTCCGTCCTTTTCTTTTTCTTTCACCACCGAAACAACTCTATAATGGAGATTAAACTTCAGAACGACGCTGTCGGCCTACTGAAGAGAGAGAGACTAACTAAGTCGGACGGCTGGCGTCGCGACGCTATATGCCGTTATCCCCTCCCAGGCTTCAACTACACACCGTTCTAAGTTGATTTTCAGTAACGAAGACGAAAACGAAAACGAAAACGAAAACGAAAGCGAAAAGATTTTGGCATTTTGCCCGTTGGGTATTCCCGCACCCCCGCACC